TCCACCGTCTATGCTTTGGGATTGGTGCATGTGTCTCTGTATTGCTGTATACAGCAAGTTCTAGAACTTGCTGTTGGTACCTTGCAGAGTTTTGGGGCCTTTCTGACTGTGTCTACCCCGTGTGTTGTGTGGAACACAGGTCACTTTAGACTCTGGTTGTTTCCCTTGGATCTGATCATCTCCTGACTGCCAGACACAGCCAGGCTTGCCATCTCTAACTCCTGGCAGATTTGCAGGGGTCATATTTGTTTTAGTCTTCTACTTCTAGAGCTTTTCTTCTGGCTCCACCAGTTGGTAGCAATGCTGTTTAGATCACAGTCTACTGTGCGATCCATTCCAGGGTATTAAGTCAGGACTCCCTTGATTTCCCTCGAACACCTGGTTCCAGCTCCACCTAGTGGAAAAATCATCACATATGACATTCGGAAGCCTGGAGAAGAGGAACTAAGCAAAAGACCATGGGATATGTATTCGAATGATTGGCTCAAGAAACCCTGCCATCTGTTAATGGCCCTGACAGTGGCCATGTGAGCTCACCCTGGCTGTGAAGATATTGCAGCTCTGAGCTTCCGGGATCCCCTTCCCCTTCCCCTTCCAAGGCTAGACAGGCAGCCTTGGAATAGTAGCCACGCAGGGGATCCGGGCACCGAGACTGGCTTGAAGAACATCCGCCCTTAGGAATAAATTACAGGCACTTTAAATGTCTGGGTAGCAATTTAAAATAGAAGAAAAATGACGGCACACAGCCCTGCTGTTATTGAAAGAGCTCTGTAGTGCACAGAACTGGTCCTGGCTGGCCCTTCCCCGATCCCACCATCAGTTATACTTGGGAAATGGAGAAATTATGCAGCTGCTGCTCCATCGAAAGGTACTCGGTATGCACTGCTGAAATACTGTCGGCGCTGCCTCTACACACCTCTGCCACCATCATTACCCCCTCTTCACCAGCACCCCCTACCACCACACCACTGCCAATGTACCACCACCACCAGCACCCCATTACCACCACACCACTGCCAATCTTCCACTACCACCATCACCAGCACCCCACTACCAACACACCACTGCCAATGTACCACCACCACCATCACGACTGTCACCATAATTACCACCACCATCAGTCACCACCATGACAATCACCTATACCCCAACCACTACTGCTGCCAGGAGCAGTACCCACCACCTCTACCAGTGCTATAATAATCACTATCACCATAACCATCCTCACCACCACGGCCATCATCAATACCACCACTACCACCACCATCGCCATCACAGGATCATTGCTAGAACCATCATCATCACCACCCCCCTATCAATAGCACCATTACCTTCACCACCACCACCATCACCACCGTCCACCTGGGTGTTACCAAGGGCTCTGTTTCTCAAATATATTTTGTTGCCACTTTTTGCCTATTATTTCTGTCAATGTTGGGGCCTTCGTGGTAGAAACGGTTCTGATGTGAGCTGTGACTGGCAGGCTGGGGTAGGGAGGTGGTGTTACAAGTAGACATAGCCTCGTGGGCCATGTCTCAAGAGGCCAGAAGTCTTAAGAGGTGTTTTGGCTGGGTGAAGAGGCTGTCTTGGCTTTTGCTCAGAAGATGGGAGTAGTATGCTGGATAAAGTGTAGAGAAGATGATCAGAACCACAGGGCCTGGCTGTATCTCCAAAGGAAACTGTTGGGGATTTACCTTTGGATGATGAGAAGGCCCTGAATGCTTTTGAGTAGGAGTGACGCTTTCACACCTTAGGGAAGGTGACAGAGGCTGACAGGAGAGTCACAGAGGAGTGGGCGGGCTCCTGTGATTGAGAAAGAGGCACAGACGGCTCAGGTGCTGGGGTATAGAAGGTACGCACGCAGGGACTGGAGCTGGTGTTTTTCTGGGTGACGTTCCTTCCTGGGTGATCCGGAAGCACTCTACCTTTTTGAGGAGAGAAGCTGCCTCATACCATTGCTTCGACCCCAGATTTCTGGCTTTAGCCTCTTGCTACCATCTTGGGCTGTTTGCTTCTTTTAGTTGATTTCTTTGCATTGCTTTCTCACCCTCTCCCTTGTCCCAGCCCGTGGACCCGTTCCTTCAGACGTGTTTATTGGATGGCCAGCACCTCCCAACTCCAGGCCTGTTACAGCTTTCATTCACTTCCTCATCTTTAGAGTCAGCCTGTCATTCTGTGAGCATTAGTAACATACGATCTCGCCCTGCAAAAGATTCAGAGAGCTGCTGAGACCCCACTGCCTCCCGCACGGGGGTGATTACCCCAATGGAGAGGCAGACCCTGCCCCTTTCCTCGTGTTCTCCTATGGGCCTCTCACTAGTCACCAAATCAACAGCCGGGGCCTTCGTAGATCTTCACTTCAGTCACTCGGTGTCCTAGCCCTCGTTTTAACCTTGCATAGAGGCATGTTGCTGGCTTGTTTTCTGAAATCTGATGATCATTTAGTGGATTCCACTCACCCTGAGGGAGAAAATGGTTTATTCATCTTGGAAGGGGTGTCTACCTACCATTCCTTCAGGAAGATGAGCTGTGGCTCTGGGCTCTCTGGGCCATGTTTGCATACATCAGAGCTCAGTCGGAGGGAGGCTGAGACCAAGGCCTCGAAGGCATGGCTGGCTTCTGAAGGTATCTGTGACCATAACTTAACAGGTGTCATTCTAGCTTGGGCCTTGCTCACCGCAGGCTGAAATGCTTCAGAGTCAGGGGCGGGGCTTAGAGCCTAGTGCTTCTGAGTCAGGCAGACTCGTCTACTGTCTGCAAGAGCATTGATCACCATGCTGCGTCTTCTTCCCCTTCCTAACTTCACTCACCTCCTACCTCTATGGCTATTCTCCTTGCCATGGATACTTTGATCTCCAAGCCACAGTCTGTTCTACCATTCCAGCCCACCAATGTGTATCAGCCATATCACAGGGACTGTCATGGGCCCAGGCTGCAGCATCAAACAAAGCCAGGGCCAGCCCCTGCTGGCAGGTGCCTTGCTTCCCGGTAGTGTCTGTGAGGCAGTCAGTAAATAGACATGAATATCCACATTGAGTCTGTGGTGACACAGACTAAGAAGGTTCGGCTGGTGAAGGGGTGGCATGTGTGGATGAGACAGGATAGCAGCTATTGTGATGAGAGGGCATTTGGGCAGCGACCAACCCCAAAGAATCGCAGAATCCATTCCTACCAAGCTCGTGGGAACCAACATTCCAGGTGGAAAGAAAAGTCGATGGAAGGCCCTTGAGGCTGGGACTATTTGCCCAAGGTAGAGGAAGGAGGCCAGTACTTGGAGGTGGGGAAAGTGTCAGGACGTGAGAAGAGGGAGTAGCAGAAATGGTTCCTGTTGGGCCAGCTGGGGGCCATTGATGGTTAACTCTGAGTGAGCTGGAAAAGCCCTGCAGTGTCTGTGGCGGAAGAGATACAAATGCACTGGTGTTTTAATAAAACCACCCTGGCCAAGGATGATGGGGACCTGAGGAGCCACCTGAGGGTCCAGGACCAGCCGGTAGGGGATTGGCTCAGCAACGTTGTGCTGAACAGTGAGGTGTGTTTTTGGCCAGCTTTGCTCCTTCCTCCTTGATGCCTCTGGTGCCAGTATACAGTGGTGATGTTCAAATACTGGACCAGGAGAGAGGAAGGGAGGAAGGGAGGGAGGGAGGGAGGGAGGAAGGGAGGGAGGGAGGGAGGGAGGAAAAGAAGGAAGGAAAAGAAGGAAGGAAGGAAGGGAGAGATAGAGGAGGGGAAGAAGGAAGAAGGAAAGGATCAGAAGGAAAATCATGGGGCTGGGTTGGGCTCAGTTCAGGGAAAGACAGTAGCCTAATATGTGTGAATGATGTGGGGTTCAGGACCAGTGGGGACAAGTAGGGGTTGCCAAGGTGCAGGAAGGAGAGGGCCCCATTTGCTGAATGAGAGCCAACGTCAAGTTTCTGTAACCTCAGGGGCAAGTGCAGAGTTCTGTGGGAGCTATGGTAAGAGGAAACACAGGATTCGGGCCACACAGACAGGGGTGGCTTCCTAACCCTAGCACTTCCCTGCCCTGTAATGCCTGCCAACGGGCCTTTGAACTCCAGCTACCCAAGATAGGAAGGACCAGGGAGAAAGTTTGCCATAAAACTCACGAAATGCGAGCCTTATTCAAAGTCGTCTTTCTTTAAGTTTCTGGACGAGCTGCTTTTATTTAACCAGGAAAGCTTCCAAGAAAACAAGAAGTCCCTCCTCCCTCAGTTGGATAAACCTGCCATATGATAGTGCGGTTACCTCATCGTATGGATAAATACAAGAGTATACGTCTCCTCCCGCCTCCCATTTAGAGATGGGTGCTGAGAACCAAGGAGGGCAGTGGCCCATGATTGCACCCGGGACGGCGGGGGGGGGGGGGGGCTGGTGGGGGAGGGATGCATCACAGTGTGGATTCTAAATGCAGAAGGGAGGAAGTGACTGTGGGTTCCTGCGTGGGGGAGACGTCTAAATGCCCCTCTCTCATCCTTGTCCTGAGCATTATTTGGCTGGGCAAGGCAGTTAGGGAAATCACGCATGTCAAAGGCATTCCTTAAGGTCGGTCATAGTTAAGCAGCAGCATTTATTAACAGGTGGGTCTGCGTACTGCAGTTTGTGACGATGAAACGTGGGAGAGGGGAGGAGAGGGAGGAGGGGAGAGAGGGGGAGGGGAGGTACGCTTCTGACTTGCACTGCAATATCTCTGAAGGGTCAAGAGTGTCTGGCGGGTCAGGACGGGGACTAGAACGAGAAGATGTCACTCAGTGCACCTCTCTGTGCCTTTGTGCTACTTCAACTAGTAAAGTCACAGAGCTGGGGTGCAAAACCACTTCCTGACAGGGAAGCCCACACCCTTCTCCTGACCCCCACGGCGCTGCTCTTTCGGAAGATCTGGGAGTGACGATCCTGGGCCCAGGGCCTTGCAGCCGCAAAGACCGGGGTTTCCATACCATGCGTTATTAAATGGACTCAGCAGTGCCTGCCTGCCTGTTCATTTTGGCTTCTTCTTCTGCTCTCAGGGGAAGAAAGGTGACGTGGGACCGCCGGGGACCCCAGGAGCATCGGGGCTACAGGTAACTACTGTCCTCCGATCCCCACAGCAGCACTGCTTTTTCTGATCGAGCCATTTCCCAGGTAGCAGTGCTCAAGCAGAAGCTGGCCCAGGGAGCCCGATCACTGTGTCACTTACAGCACATTCTTCCTGTGCCCTCAGAATCGATTCGGCGATTGCAGACGCTCTGCAGGTGGAACTAGGTGTAATAAGGAACAATTGTTTGCTCCTCTATTAATGACGATTAGGCTAATTGGTTATTTATGCATCATCAGTGTGACAGCTGATCACATTTGATAGCTATTCAGACACTAGAGGGAATGAAATTGTTGCTCTATTAATAATAATTGGATCGATTGGTTAATATGTAGAAGCATGACTTAATTGTTTTTATTATGACCAATGAAAACTAGTCATCTATTTTGTTAACATTGGGAATCTGCTGGTTAATTTGCCACTCTCATTAATAATTGGATGAATTGGTTATTGGGAGGTTTTTTAATCAATGATTAAAAGAGAAGAAAGAAGTAAGTTTGGTGAAGTCTCCCGGTGTTTGGGGCTAGCTTACACAGCCGCTTCCATCCACACACATTAGGTGTAGTTGGGAGTTTAAGGGTTGGATGCCCCCAGGTCCTGAGATAATTCAAGGCTGCTCCAGATTGGACCCAGCTCCACCAAACCTAAAGCCCTATTTATTTTCCAGATAAATCCCTACCTGTGTGTCTCTTGGCCCAAAGAAAATGAGCCTTGCCTGACCCACCTTGGGAAGCTTCTGTGGTTGTTACCCTTGGCTCCACTTCTTTCTGGGAACTAACCCTGAGAAGAAATAATGTGGAGAACTGTTGTAGGTTTTTTTTAAAGATTTTTTTTTAATTTGTCTAAAGGAAAGTGGAAGAAAGGAAAGGGATGTTCTCACCCTTGGAATACCCACGTGCCACGTAGGTAGCTATGGATAAATGTAGAAAAGTAGTTCAACCTGGCCATGCTATGATTTGCACTTAGAACGTTTACTTGTGACTCCATCCGCTCTTCTGGTTGGGGTTGTTCAACTTGACTGCAGAGGAAAGGGGCAGAAATGGGGATTGTCGCAAAGCAGAAAGCCAAGGAGGTTGGTCCACTCAAACCTACAGGGAGGGTGGGCCTCTCAAGCCGAACAGAGCTTTACCCGCAAGGTCTCCATGACCATGAAAGATGCTCTAGCGCCACATCTGTCCTCCCCAAAGCTGAGATTATGTCTAATCTCCATAAGGGAGGGCGATCTCATCCTAGAGCCCGACCATAACCTTGGTCTAAGCAGTACCCTGAGGACATTCCCACAGCCTAGTACTCAGTCTCCCCCCCCCACCCCCGTCTCTCTCTCTCTCTTTCCACTGCCCATCTCTTTCTTTTTTGCCATCACTCTGTGCAGAGCTGAGGTTGAGTGTGTTACTGGTCAGGGTCGTGCTGAGAGTTCACTAGGGCCAAGGGCAGGTGCAGCATCTGCCGTCTGCGCCACCTGTGTCACAGCCCTGTGCTGCTGCTGCTCCAGTCAGCATCTGTCACCGCCACTTCCCTGGTCTCCATCTTCTGGTGGACATTCCAGGGCCTACTGGGAACTTGAAAACTAAATCTGTAGATCATAAACATGTCAGCCCCATTTTGTCTAGAGATGTGCTATGTGTAGATTGCAAAGCCAGCCTTCCTTCCCCTAGAAAGAATTGCCAAATTCTCTCTATATATAATATGTGTGTATATATATATATATTATATATATATATATATATATATATATATATATATATATATATTTTGGGGTTGTGGGGCTTGAACTCTGGGCCTGGGCGCTCTCCCTCAGCTTTTCAGTTCAAGGCGAGTGCTCTACCACTTGAGCCACAGCTCCACTTCTGGTTTTCTGGTGGTTAATTAGAGGTAAGAGTCTCATGGACTTTCCTGCCTGGGCTGGCTTTGAACTGCAATCCTCAGATCTCAGCCTCCTGAGTAGCTAGGATTACAAGCGTGAGCCCCTAACACCCGGCCCACACTATATTTTTAATGGAAAGATGATGCCTAAAAATCTAGATTCCCAGGTCATCGGAAGGGGTAGCAGTTTTCCTGTGTACAGGCCAGAGACTGACTGGACTGGGACGTCTGGATCCCGTGTCCTGCTCCGGCATGCCGGCCCTGTCCTCCTGGAAATCATGTCCTCCCATCCCTGCCTGCCTTGCTCATCCCATGCTTGCCTCACTAACGGGTACTGGAGCTGAAGAACCCTCTTGTCTTGTCCTATTCCCCGTGGCCTGTGGAGGGTTTGGTCAGTGGTAAGTGCAGTCCATCAGGGAAAGGAGAACAGAGCAAGACTCCTTCCTGTGAGTCACCCAGGATCGAGTGAGGAAGACAGCTCAGCCAAAGGAGCCTCTCATTCCCTCTGCTCATTTGGATAATTGGCTGCCCACTGCCCACTGCCCCAAACTGAGAACAACTGAATTCTCTCGAGTAAAAACCACGTCCATGTGCTCAGTGCAGACCACTGGCCCCCTTGCTCCCCCCCCCCCACGGCTGGCAGTGGAGATTCTCCTGGATCTGAGCACTGTTTAGCTGGGCCAAAAGCTCAGCGGAGCCAGGGATCCCACCCTTGTCTGACCTCCATTGGCGTGGCCAGGGTGGGGCTCATCATTCATCCCAGGGCTCTGGGCAAAGGTACTCCATCCCACGGACTCAGCTGTCCCCTCCTCTCGGGCTGCCCGGTACTGTCCAAGAACCCGGACCTTGGGTGGACATGACCGAGAGCGATTGTTCTCTTAGGGTCTGTGTGATCTTGAGAGTTAACTCGTGTTCTCCTCTCGGAGACCCTGATCCCCCAGCTTTGATGTCGTATTAATCATTCAGGTTGATTCAAGAATATTTATGGAGGGTCTCTCCAGACTGGATGCCTGGACAGGCAGAACAAAGACCCAGAGGGAGCCATGGCCAGTGGGCCTGAGCCCGTGGCGCTGTGGTATCATCGTGCTGTCTTTCTGGATGTCCACAGCGTGTAGGGTGCCCCACCCCATAGACCACGGAGCTGGGCCTCAGGAACTTTCCCTATGGGACAGAAGTAGCAGGTGCAGCTTTGATTTTCCCCTTGAGGGTTGGGCTCCAGTGCACCCCGAGCTGGTGGCCCTCACGGTGCACTGGACAGAGACAGGTACTAGCGGGGACCCCAGTGGGTGACTTGCGCACAGACACAGAGAGGAGACCGCAGGGTGCTGTGAGTAAAGGCGTCCTGGAATCCTGGGCAGAGCATGTGCTCCGTGACTTGGTTTCTCCTTTGTTGATGGGTGCATGGCTGTCTCCTGGCTGTCTCCCATGTGGATGCTAAGGAGCTGGCTCCTCTAGGGGGAGTCTGCAAGAGAGCTGAGGTCCCAGCTGCACCCGGTGCCCAACAGCAGAGCCGTCCAGAGGCAAGGAGGCTGCTCTGCAGCTTATCTCTGCCTCCCCGCATTGCTCTGCCTTCAGAAGATAGCCTGTGGCCATGAGCACAGGCCTGCAGGGGGTGCCGAGGCTGCCTCCTGCTGCTGCCTCCTCTCTCCTGTCCCCCCTCCCCCCTCTCCCCATCCTTCCCCCCTCCCCCCCTCCCCGCTCCCCACCTGGACTTCCAAGATGCTGTCTGTAAATTGGAAAAGGAGCTCGAGGCAAATCACCACCCCCTTTGAAATTGGGCACCTCCTGGGAGATGCTTCCAGATTTCCCAACAGCTGCTTCCAGCTGCTTCTAGTTGCTTTTAGCTGCTTCTAGCTGCCTCTCTCTCTAAATGCTTACTGCAGTTGTTGGGCTTAATTAGAGTTTTGCTGTGGGTGCTGTGCTTATAGCAAGGAGCACACAGGGCCTTCTTAACCCCTCCTGTGAGCATGGCAGGAAGGCAGGCACCGGCGTCTCACAGGGAGGCTCTCAGCTCTTCATAGAGCCCAGAGTTCCAGTCGCACTTCATATGTAGAGAATCCTCGTTAATCAGGAGATCTGGAGGATTCAAGTTAGCCTTGGCCAAAACATAGAACATCTGTGAGATTCTGTCTCCAAACGATGAGTCAAAGCAGGCCGGAAGGCTTGGCTCAGATGGTAGACCAGCGATTTGTATAAGCAACCTGAGCAAATGGGAGGAGAGGCCAGCAGGGAAAGGCAGGAAGAACCAGTTCAAACCCCAGTGGGGCTGGGAAAAAATAAAACCACGAAAAACAGAAATGGTGGGATGGGCCTGCAGGAAAAAGCCACAGCTTCTCGGGCATGCCGGAGGGGGCTGGGCAGAGCCTCCGCAGCATCGGAGCACAGGGTTTGTCAGGCTGGCTGTGCCAATGGCCAGTGGCTTCCCCTTCAGGTTGCAGTCCCCCTTCTGCAGTGTGGCATGGTAGGAGTTGCCAGGGCGGACCACCACGGAGGCTGTGATGAGATACAGCATGCAAATCGTGGCCAAGTCACGTACCCAGCGGGGATGTGGCTGCTTTGTCCCAGCCTCCCTGGCTTCTGATTTCTTCCCCCTGGCTGTGGTCCACTCTGCGGCTTTAAGACTGGAACTGGTGGGGGGATGGCTGTGTGTGGAGCTGGCCTGTGCACATAATCCAGCCCTGGGGGCCCAGCAGAGCCACGGGTGAATCCCAGAGCTCTAACTTGCGGCCCTGCATGTTCCAGCCCTTCGGTCTGGAAGTTCTATCGGGGATCAGCACGCTGTGTGTATGAGGGGATCACTGGTGCCTGCAGCAGCCCAACCATTCAGGAGCCTCTTCCTCCTGGAAGGGATGGCTGTGCAGCCTCTGGTGGAAATCTTACCTTCTCTGGGTCTCAGTTTTCTTCCATCAAACACAGAAGTTTGATTTGTACTAGATGATTGATAAAGATAGGGACATCCTGGGCTTGCAAATAGCAGCAGAGTACGGGGCCTTTGTCAGGAGTGAGGGGAAAGGCAGCAGAATCACCAGGAGTACAAGGAGGGCAGCCAAGGAAATGTGTTCCCTGCTAACAGAAAAGAGCACCGTGGGGCTGGGAAGGACCCTCAGATAAGGCTCAGTGGACCGGGGGCTGAGGACCCTCAGAAATCCTGCTGAAGGGCCCGAGATGGCCTGGCCAGTGCCTTTGGGAGCAGGTGTGTCCGTGGCGCTGCCTGCAGGGAGAGGCGGGTGAGGTGTGGGTGAGGCTGGCCTGGCCCTTTGTCCTTCATCCTGTATAGAATCCGGGCTGCTTAGCTCTGCTGGGCTGCTCTTGCTCCATCTCACAGCAGATGTCTCTGAAGAGCACAGATGTGCCCTAAAGACTCCCCCGGTCTAAGCGAGCTATAGAGATGACCGTCCGGGGACCACCGCGAAGCCCTCGTGAATGTCTAGTTTAGTGCTTTTTGGATGCCTGTGTTTGACTCACCTGCTCCCCCCAGAGGGAGGAAGGGGAACAGCTCAGGGACACAGCTGCGCTGACATTCTTCAGTGTTCACCGCCCTCTGGTGGCCCAGCTCCCCCTCTCCCCAGCGCTGCTCCCTTCAGATGACAAATTCCCAGCAGGTTCCCAGGGAGCTCTGTCTGGATTTGGATCCATTCTTCCTGGTTGTGTGGAGCAGTGACTGTGAGCAGGGAGAGAGGGAGGTTGTGAACAGACCTGGAAGGATCCAGAAGGCCAAGCAGATACGCGAGACACAATCATTAGAAACAGGAGTTCCTAGGAATGCTTCAGCTGCCATGTGCTTGGATGTTGTGCTAGGGGGCAGGTCTGTGGGCAGAGGCAGTTGTCAGTGAATCAGTCCTTGTGCTCCTCGAGGGGCCATTGTCCTGTGGCTACAACCAGACCCTGGTTGGTGGCCCAGGGCCTGCCTTCTCCCTCTATCCCCTTCCAATGCAAGCTACTTCTCTGGAACCACATGTGGTGGCATATGACTTGCTCCGAAGGCCTTTCTTGTAAAGCTCTACCTCTTCACTCTCCAGGGTCCCGGCCTGGTGAATGTCTGTTCCCATGCAGAGCTGTTGGCTGTTTTATAAAACACAGTACTGGCCTCTGACACTTGGTTCCACCTGCCTTGTCCCCCAGGCCTTTGGTGATTTTTTTCTCTCTCTAGGGCGGGAAGGATCTGTGAGTGGGCGCCCCTTCCTTGGGAAGGAAGCATGCTCACGTGCACACACGCGTCTTCTCTCTGAACAGGCAGCAGAATAATGTAACCGCTGATAAATACCTGCCACCCACAGAGGACACTTCGGATCATTTCTCAAAAATTGCTTCAGATCTTTTTTCAGAAGTTTTGCCTTTGCTCCATTCTGCTTGAATTAAAGCAGCAAAGCTAAAGCTTGGAGCCCCAGTTCATCCCTAGGCCAGTTCCCCTTTGTCTCTATTTAAGATACTGCCATTGCGGGAGGCGGCTCTTTGTCCTTTTGTAACCTCCTCCTTCTCTTTATAGGGTCCCCCTGGACCACCCGGCATCCCAGGGCCCCCTGGACCTGGAGGCCCCCCGGTAAGCCTGGCTTTGCTTTTCTCTCCTGAAGGTTCTTAAATGGTCTTATTGTGGTCTGTGGGGACCAACTCCTTCTCACCTTTCTTCTGCTCAAGGTTAGTCCAGGGTACACACAGGGGACCACTCCCTCCGTGAGGACACCCACAGGCTCTCCGCAGACCCTGGGGCTCTGATGGCTCTGCATTTGAAGCGTCACTAGAACTAAGGTGGCACTTTAGTGTCTAGAAACTTCTAGACTCTGGTAGAGGGGGCGTGTCAGCTGTGACCGTCCAGTCAGGCATGTATAGTAGTTGACGCTTTAGCTTTGAGGTGATGCGTGGGTTAACATTCTCCCATTCAGCAGAAAGGGAATCGCCACATGGCTCAGGCAGACAAGAGCTTCTTGGGTGGGGGTGGGAGTGGGGGAGAGCACAGTGCAGACCACAGGGGATGTAGCTGCATGGAGGCAGAGGGAAAGAACAGAGAAGGGGACTTGTGGTCAGCAGGCTTATACAGGGAAAGGCAGAAGGCGGGACCACAGCGGACGTGGAAGTGACCTCAGAGCCTGGGGAACCTCTTCCTGTCGGAGGGAAGTGTGACCAGGGTGGTTCAGGAAGTGACCTCAGAGCTGGGGGTCCTTGGCCAACTCAGTCAGGTGATTTCCAACAGGGACAGGGGGAGGGGGAGGGGCTGTTCTCCCAGGCAGGCCTAACAGCCTCCCTCATTGGGGGAACAGCTGGGAAACTGCTCCCACAGCAGGTACTCAGAGGGTCAGACCCAGCAATGGGCAGAAGGACGGAGCTCCATCCGTACCCCCGGCTGGCAAGGGAGTGACCGTGGCTCCCGCCGCCCTGCAGATGTGCTGTGGACATGCCGACGGTGGTGAGGGGCCACTCAGTATTGCAAGATGGCCAGCACTGAGGTCTCCGGTCACCCCCGAGGTGTCCTTGTGGGAGTCAGGGGCATGGACCTGTGTCTGGATTAGCGCTGCACAAGACTCTGCTCTCCACATCGCCTCACCACTCCCTCCCATGTTCCTCTTCAGGGCCTACCTGGAGAAATCGGCTTCCCGGGCAAGCCTGGGCCTCCTGGGCAGACGGTGAGTGACCCTCCTGTTCCACGGCCTCAGACTGGCAGGCCCTTGTGGCTGGGCCCCTCCCCGGGCTGGTGACTTGCACGTTCCTCAGCCTGCTCCCTCTCCCCAGGACGCTGTTTCCTGGACTGTCCCCGGCCTCAGGGCCCTGGCCGACGATTGGGGCGATTGGGGACATGGCTTCCCGACCACCATCCTCACACTCATTCCCCCAAACACACTCCAGAGCCTCTTGCTTTTTAAAGAGTGGTCGTGTGACCCGAGGTTATGTGCTTAGAGGTAGCAGGGGCCGTGAAGTCAGGGCCACGGTGCTCAGGCGGTGTACCCCACTGCTACCCCACTGCTACCTGCTCCTGGGCTATGGCAAAGGAAGCCTTTAAGTCTGGGGTTGTTGTCCCGTGGGAGCTGCCACAGGGGAGGGAGCCTCGCTTCCCTGCCACGCTGGCATGTGGATCTGAGCACCGGTGACCCAGTTCTGCCCACCCTTGGGGAGCCCCGGTTCTACTCCGGAGGACTAGGATTTCCTGTGGCTGCTGCTCTGTCTCTCGGAGCTGCACAGTGGGACGGCCACAGCGCTGGTGGACTATCCGGGCCCGACAGAGGGCTGAGGAGCAGCAGAGCAGACCATGGTGCAGGAAGCCCTCCCCGTGCTCTGCGGCCCATCAGCAGATCAAGGCCCCAGGACCACAACGCCACCACCAGCATCCTAAACTCTGCTGCACACCTGGCACAGGGCCAGAGACCACCAGCCATCAGCTGTGCTGGAAAGCACACACAGATGAAATGGTGTGAATCTGGAGAAACACCTGGCAAGCACCATCACCACCACCATGAATTCCTTGACCACACCATTAACCCCAGTGTCACTGCTGCACGTGTGCCCATGAGGGGCCTGCCTGACAGCCACACCTCTGTCACCTCCTTGGATCCCAGGGCATCATCGGAAGTGTGCATGGCACAGGAACCCGCAGAAGCAGGGAACAGAATGAGAGATGTCAAAGGGATTCGTGGTCTTTATCACCGTAAGGCTGCGGCCGGCCTCTGTGAAGCAGCCTCTGGCTGGTGTTTGCTCCTCTGGGTCAGGATCATCTCCCATTGACACGAGTGGTGTCCAGCCATGAGCAAGCCCATCCTGTTCTCCCACAGACCTTGACCCCAGGGCGCCTTCTATGTGCTGGGGAGGGGGTGGGGAAATCACAGGGAGAGTCAATCACCTGTGCTGGGGAGGGGGTGGGGAAATCACAGGGAGAGTCAATCACCTGTGCTGGGGAGGGGGTGGGGAAATCACAGGGAGAGTCAGTCACCTGTGCTGGGGAGGGGGTGGGGAAATCACAGGGAGAGTCTTAAGTCAGGTCACAGCAGAGGAATCACCAAGATTCCAGAGGAAGTACTAACGCCTGCCTAGTATGAAGAGTACTGTTAGCTTGGGAGATATTCTGGCGAAGGAAATTATTTGCCCGTGTCCGTCCCTGGGGACTGCGTGACTCCAGTTGCAGGGACTTCGGGATGGGGCCAGGAGACCCCGTGGGTTCCCGTGACTAGCTCTGTGGCTGTGATGGGGTCGGATCGCTCAGCCTGCAGAGGCTTTGTCTCCTCGCCTACAGACAGCGTCAGGAACACCTCTCCTGCTGCTCCTGGGTGGGGGTGGAGGAAACACCTGAAGCAGCAAATTATAGCACGGAAAGCCCGTGTGGCATCATCAGCGATGCCCAGAGACTGCTTCCAGCCTCTGCGAAGGGCAAGAGGAAAGCAGGGTTTGGTAGGAGTGGATCTCCCAGACTGTCTGGAGGCTGCAGCAGGAGTGTGGAGACGGTGTGGCCACCTGGAGCTGACAAAGCCAAGGGTAGGAAAGGAACAGTGTGCAGAAGTTCCTGCAGAGAGCAGGGACCTGCGCCCTGGCCCCAGAGAGGCGCTTGGGTCATGGTGGCTCATGTGAGGAGAGCCTGGCCCAGCAGAGGTCGGTGGCTCCGGGGAGAGCACACGGCTGGTTAATGAGGACGGCTGTGCTCTCCATCTCTCCTGCAGTTACCTGGCCTTCCACAGCTTGCTCTAAGACCTCCCTAAATGTGCTTTCTTTCTTTTGTTTTAATTTTTTTTGTCCTTTGTTCCACCCAGGGGTCACCTGGAAGAGATGGGCCAAATGGACCGCCAGGCCTGCCAGGATCCAAGGTTGGTACACACTGCACTGGTGGACACAAGGTCAGGAGGCGGAGGCACAAGAACACAAAGATTCTCAGTTGCTGGGCAATAACGTAGTTGACTGCCCGGGCCATGGATCAGATGTGGCTGAAATGTCTGAATCTACAAGTCTTGTCTAGGAAAGCTCTCTCTAAAAGCTAGGGAAGTATTTAGAAACCCCAGGCTTTAAAATCAATCTAGGTATGTATTTCATTTGCATAAAGGATAAAAATCCATCTATGCTTCCTAACACGAGCGACTTCAATTTAAAAGATATTCCAATGGGACTCATTATAGCAGGATTATGGAGGTTAAAAGTTGGTGACCAAATACCAACAAGTACAAATTTAGTATAAGTACTTCAAATGAATACACATGGTATCAATGTATATATAGATTTTTAATGAACACACACAGGTTCAGGTAGGCAGGTGAACTGTCTTTGACAGGCCACTGTAGAAACCATTGCTTGATTTGTCGGGGAATGCCTTGTTTTTTTGGATACACGGACTTAGAGCTTTGACATTTTCATGACAAAATACAGAATACATGTGTGTACAACTCATGCAGGACATCACCGTTCTCCTGTATCTCGCAGTAGGTAGTGGCTTAAGGGACTACTTTATATTATCAAAACCATGAAGGCACACCTCCTTCCTCTAAGTCTTTCAGTGAAGGGAAGTGACGCCATTTCGACTCCATTTTATGCTGCTGCTGCTGCTGTTAGAGTTGTGGAATGCGGGCTGTGGGTGGTGGTGAGTCTTCCCGTGTTGGCTGCCATCTTTATTTAACTATATACGAGGAGCTTTGGAGAGCACCCACGCAGGACGACTCCTCTTACCCATCTCTAACCAGCCCTGAACGCAGTGACTCCACTGGGGGCCTGACTCCTCCTCTCCTGTTAACTCAGCTTTTCGTTCTTTACAGGGAGAGCCGGGAGAAAGAGGCGAAGGCGGCCTGCCAGGGAGGCCTGGGCCCCGGGTATGTCTGCCCCTCGCTGTCATGCTTGCTACCCTTGATGGGCTGTCGGGGGCTATGGGGCAGTCTCACCTCGTCGAGCACAGAGTGGGTTTCAGCTGGGACCTGGCAGGAAGCACAGCTGGTTAGAAAGGGGCTGTTCAAAAGCTAGCAGGGCCAAGGGGTAGAGCACTAGCCTTGAGTGAAAAAGCTCAGGGACAGAACCCAGGCCCTGAGTTCAAGCCCCAGGACCAGCACCAAACAAACCAAACCAAACCACTCTCCTCCTACTCCTCACCTCAGGGACATTTTTGTGCTTATGCCAAGAAGCAGAGCAGAAATTGGGGAGCACTGGCCCCTCACCAAGTTCTTTCTTCACAGCTTCTCCTTCCTCTTGGGATCCCCCATGGAATCTTAGGTTTTCCTGGTGTGTCACATAAGCCTCAGTGGGAGACGGAGCTCCGTGTTATTTGGAATTTTAGGTGTCTTAAGGCTCAACATACGGTTTAACCCATATGTACTCTTGCAGGGCATCTCCAGGAATTATGTCTGGTTTTGGCAGACAATATGAGGACGCATGGAACCCCTCTTTCTAGGGATGATACACACTGCACTGCCTAGGTTATGACCTCTGGCTTTTAACCCATGCCTCGTATTAGAGAATGAGAGGTTGTACCTGCCAGGGGCTGTGGATGTACAGACCTGCCAGGAAGGGGCAGCCATGGCCGGAGGTATGCATGCAAGGTGATGACATTTGTTATTCTCTCTCCAGGGTGAAGTTGGGGAGCAAGGCCTGGCAGGCAGACCTGGAGAGAAGGTGGGTCATTCATGTCTTCATCAATTCATCTCATTCATTCATTCATCCACTGGTATATGATAAGTCTTTCTACAATCGTGCAAATGCAAAGCCTTGAGTCTGTTGGGAGTTCACTGTGCTCATTTATTTGCTCTACAATGGGGGATGGATGGGAAAGAGCTCCACTGGGCATACTCCAGCGAGTGGGTCATCTGATATCCCCTGTCCACACTGCTCTGCCTTCCCTGTGACTTCCACCAAGCCTGGAGATTTGTAGACAGGCTGACCAACCACAACCATGGCATAGGACCCACAGCCTGCCCCAGGGAGGCCTCCCATGAGTGCCCGGTGGACAGAGCTGCCATTTTGTCCTCACAGGGAGAAGCAGGTCTCCCCGGTGCTCCCGGATTCCCAGGTGTGCGGGGACAGAAAGGAGACCAGGTAAGGCTGGCTTCTCTTGCCCCAGGACCATGGAAAGCAGCTGCTGCTGGGGTCTTAGCTCTTTGGGAGGAGGTGATCATTTCGAATGGGGGAATAGAGTTGTCCCCAGATTTGATGGGAGAGAAATGGGAGAAGAGTGGCAGAGATTCTGAGTGGAGACAAAAGGACCACAGGTAGGAGGTACTTTGGGAAAGAGCAGAGGATCCTCAGGTTGAATGGTAGGAATAGGGCTGGGAGACACTGCCTGCCACCTGCAGAATTATACTTTTCACACTTAGCTAGCAGGAGCACCATTGGGTTAGGCTTCGCTCTGGCCATTTCGCTGCTAAGGCATGGCTGTGGAGAGGGGAGAGGGAAAGAAATGTACATGTTGCTCAAGATCACATTGCCTTCACCATTAAGCTTTGGATTAGAATGTTTTATATTTGTATCTTTCATAATAGGGAGAAAAAGGTGACCTGGGAATTCCTGGACTGAAAGGTGACCGAGGTGAAAAGGTAAGAGCAACTTTCTCTCATCCCGATTGTCTGGTTTCACTGGCTGCTGCTTCCTAAAGTTGGGTATTTTTACTGAGTGCCTTTGTCCAAAGTGCCAAAGTATGACAAAGTTTTTAGGGAAAAATAAGTTAAATATAAACTCTGGAATTGTAGTAAACTTCAGAAGAAAGGAATCCACCCATCTACCCATCCATTATCTATCTACCATCCCATGTATCCATCATCCATCCATCCATCCATCCATCCATCCATCCTTTTGTACTCATAGGCTTGAGATTTGCTTGAGTACCTCTCACATGCTGAGTACCATGTTTGCCCTCATCATTCTCAGTTTCTCTCTCTGAATACAAGCACAGCTGTATAAGATAGATATTAGTGATACATTTGTTGAGGGGAGTAGAGGCTCCAAGAAGGTAAAGAATTTGCCAAGAATCAGATCCCTTGTACCCTGACTACAGTGTCCTCCTCCTACATTGCACGTGTGTCTGCTTTGGGGATAGGCTTAGAGTCTACCTCGGAGTCCAGGTGTACTCTGTCTCAATGACTCCATTTGCTGAGCCCTACTGTGTGCTTTGCTGTGCACAGGAGGGGTTCTTCTGTAGCACTTGGCAACATCCTCTGCCACATGCCAGGAGCTGTTCATGAGCAGTGCTCTCAGGACAAACAGAAGGAGAGAGAACCATGAGGGGGGAATTCATGGACGGAAAGTGCTAAGGGTAAGAAATCAGAGGTAGCAAAGCACTCCCGGGTAAGTAACAGCAAGGAGCCAGAAAAGACGAGGAGAGGGAGCTCTCTCCAGAGCCCAGAGAGCCTGACGGTCACCCTGCCCAGACAGCAGGGACATAGACAGGACCAGCCTGTGGCCTGCTGCTGTCCCGTGGCCTGGCGGTGCCCCTCCGTAGCTCATCCTGCCCTTCCTCCTCCTGCTTCATGCTCAGCCTCTCGCCAAACATAGTTACTGCCACAGCAGCTTACACATGTCGCACGCACGCGCGCACACATGCACGCATACACTTACCCCCCACACACATGTACACCTCCCTCAGAACCTGGCTTTGTGGAAAGAGCCCTGGTCCAGGAGTCAGAAAGGCAGCCTTGGGGGACTGGGAAGGTGGCTTAGTGGTAGAGTGCTCACCTAGCAAGCATGAAGCCCTGGGTTTGATTCCTCAGTACCACATACACACTATAGGCCAGAAGTGGTGCTGTGGCTCAAGTGGTAGAATGCTAGCCTTATGCACAGAGATGCCCAGGGACAGAGCCTAGGCCCTGAGTTCAAACCCCAAGACTAGTAAAATAAATAAATAAATAAGCCCTAAAGATGGCCTTGGGTTTTCACCCCACGCTTCCCTCTTCTTACCATCAACTTGACTCTGGCTTTGCAGCCAGATGCCTCTGCCCGAGGTCCTCAGAAGGAAGGAGTAAGCGGCTCACTGTGCCAGAGTGATCTGGGCAGACTCGCTGTGCGAAGCACTATCTTGAGCACTGTCCAGTGGGACCCAGTGGGTCCCAGGACAGGGGAGGGGTCCCCGTTGTCAACAGTGTCCCCACTTCTGAGAGAAGGAAGTGGAGGCCCAGAAAAGCTAGCGAGCTCCTTGTCCCGGCTCTCATGAGACCCAGTCCGTGTGCGTGCTGCACACATAGCCTGTGCTGCACACCGGACCTGACTGGCTCTGGGGCCTGGGCGCTGGGACCCCTCCCACACACTCCTCGCCTCCGCCCTTCACAGAGGATTGTTTTCCCTCCCTGGGGTTCCCAGCCCTCCTCCCGTTTGGCCATCTTGGTACTTGGTGGTATGGGTGAGCCGTCCAGGCCTGCTGCTTCCCTGGGCTTTTCAGAAATGCCGTTTCTATGTGAGGAGCCCATTCCCAGAATGCAGAAGCAGAGGGTGAGCAGGGAGCGGCTTGGGTCCTGTGGCAGGTCACACACAGGCTTCCGACCTGGGCTGCCTGTCCACACCTCCAGAGATTGGCAGGGGTACACGATTTGTTTCCTCTCCCGCCAAAACTCCAGACTGAGGCATTGAAGCAACCCTGCCGCCTTCTGACCGGCCTGCGTAGGGCCCCTCTGCCCTTCCCTTCAGTACCTGCCCTGCGGTCCATTGCGCCCCATCGGGCACAGACGGGACAGAGCTGCCCCGGCTTCTGGGGGGGGCGCGGGCAACTGGGAGCTAAGCACTCACAGTAAAGCAGGATTGGAACTCAGTCTGTCAACTTTAACCCGCATGCCACAGGTCTTCTAAAGCTTTGTCTGCGTGGTAGCCCCTCCTCTGCCCACCCATCCTTCCCTGGAATTTCAGTCTGTGAACCCATTCAGTCTTTGACTGGTTCTAGAGTTTGTTGCTGGAGGCTTCTGTGCCTTGATGTCTTCACTGGCGAGACAGGGAAATCCATTCCCTCAGGGAGCCCTCCGTGGAGGTAACCCCTCAGGGGCCCTCCGTGGAGGTAACCCCTCAGGGACCCTCCGTGGAGGTAACCCCTCAGGGGGCCCTCCGTGGAGGTAACCCCTCAGGGGCCCTCCGTGGAGGTAACCCCTCAGGGGGCCCTCCGTGGAGGTAACCCCTCAGGGGGCTGTCTGTGGAGGTAACCCCTCAGGGACCCTCCGTGGAAGTAACCCCTCAGGGACCCTCCGTGGAGGTAACCCCTCAGGGGGCTGGCTGTCTGTGGAGGTAACCCCTCAGGGGGCCGTCTGTGGAGGTAACCCCTCAGGGGGCCCTCCGTGGAGGTAACCCCTCAGGGACCCTCCGTGGAGGTAACCCCTCAGGGGGCCCTCCGTGGAGGTAACCCCTCAGGGGGCTGTCTGTGGAGGTAACCCCGCAGGGACCCTCCGTGGAGGTAACCCCTCAGGGGGCCCTCTGTGGAGGTAACCCCTCAGGGGCCCTCCGTGGAGGTAACCCCTCAGGGACCCTCTGTGGAGGTAACCCCTCAGGGACCCTCCGTGGAGGTAACCCCTCGGGGGGCCCTCCGTGGAGGTAACCCCTCAGGGACCCTCCGTGGAGGTAACCCCTCAGGGGCCCTCCATGGAGGTAACCCCTCAGGGGGCTGTCTAGGAGACAAGTGAGTCCAGCAGGGACATGTGGAAACGAGAACCTGGAATTAGATGCTAGCAGGCAAAACGGTGGCACACATCTCCATCGTCATAGTATTGTTGCTTAATAAAGTTATGCTCGGCCCTTACTAAGTTGACTTCGTTCATTCATTGGTCCATGTAATCATTTATAGGAGGCCTCAGGCCCGGCTCTGGGCTGGTTCCAGGAACGAGACTAGGGTAGACCCTGCTTCCTGGCTTCACGTGGCCCCGGTCACGTGACAGACAGGCTGGGCATCCATGCTTGAGGGTCTCCTTGTGGCAGTTGCCAACCTCTCTGGCAGGGGTGACAGCCTGCCCTTCGTTGTTTTGCTTGTCCAGATATGATGCTAGGCTCTGGAGGCATCATTGTCTTTATGAGTCTGTGAAGACGTGAGTTACAGCAGGTGAAAGTCATTGGTAAAATGTGAGAGTTGTTTTTTTAAGCCCAGCTGACTGGACTCATGGGCCTGTGTGCTGTACATAGATAATCCCAGGGCCTCAGGCCCCGGTCAGCACAGCCAGCTTCTCCCAGGAGAGCAGGCGGGGCTCCGGGCATCTGTAAGGGAGCTGCACGTCAAAGAGGTCATCAAGCTGAAGGGCATATTTGTTGTTGTGACAAACCACATGCTGGCTGTCACCACAGTACAGGAAAACAGCCCCAGTACCAGGCCGATATGGAGAACCATCGGTGTGGGGCCTAGCCGTGGAACAGTGCATGATTTACATAATCGATAGCTATGCAAATGTGTGTAGATACTTGGAGTGTACGTACCATGGATACATACATATCCATCTGTATAATCTCCATTATCTATCTATCTATCTATCTACTATCTACTATCTATCTATCTATCTATCTATCTATCTATCTATCTATCTATCTATATCTACCTCTATCTATCTATCTATCTATCTATCTAT